ATAGTAGCATTGTAATCTTTCTAACTCCTTGATGAAATCAATTGAGATTGATAACCTCAACACAAGCGGTTTCGGTTTAACCAACAAAATTAATCCCTCTTAAGTTTATTAACCACGACCGTGCATTAATAAACCGAAGTTACTAACTTGTGAAACCATCAACGATTAACCATCGGTTCGTTGATCGTTTCTAGTAATAATTAATATATGAAACAAAACTAGTTGATCCTTTAAGTAATGTTCAAAATATTAATATGAAATAAGAGTAGGAATTAATTAATATTCAAGGAAGAATATTATTAAAGAAGATGAATCCTACTATAATTAATATCAAGATGTTAACTAATTGTCATCTTAGCAACACTCCCCAACATTAATATAGAGGAAGAAAATACCATTCTAACTAACGTCGAGATGTTAACTAATTGTCATCTTAGCAACACTCCTCAACATCAATATAGAGATGGTATTAAGGAAAGAACTATTAATTAATATTCAAGGAAAAAAGTAAAGAAAATAACTCACAACTTTAAAAATCAACAAGCTTCAAGAGCAACACCAAGAATGGAAGTTTAGCTCCTCATTTGGAGACTAAACATAGCTAGAAAAATATAAAGAAATGCTATTCTAAACTGAGCTAAAGAGTATGGAAGAAGGGATGATTTTTTTGTGAAGAAAAAGTGTGCTATTTATAGGTGTTTTTCAACACCTTTGGCCGGGTACCCGACCGGGTCAAGTACTTACCCGACCGGGTCCGGTCAAAATCAGATAATTCGTCACGTTCTGGTGATCTTCGCACATCGTTTTGTCCCGGGTCACATCTGACCCGACCGGGTCCAGTGACTTTCTTGGCAATTTCGTCAGTTAAATCATACCCGACCGGGTGGTGGTTTCTACCCGGTCGGGTTTCACTCCTGGGCAGTCAAATTTCTTGTTTTCTTCTCTTCAAAGTCTTCCTTTCCAACACCACAAATCCTAACTATACTTTACAACTTATAAATGAGAATTAAAATACGATTACAACTAAAACCACACAAATGTTTACAAACTAAATAAAACGGTAAACAATACACACAAATCAATCATAAAAATATACATTTATGTACTACTAATTAGTGCATATCAAATACCCCCACACTTAAACCTTTACTCGTCTCGAGTAAATCAAATCCGGTCCAAAAAGCCCTTAAAATGACAAGAATATCAACACACACATCCACGAGTGTTTTTAGAAACACATAAAGTAAATCCCCAAAAATATAATAGTAAAGAGGGTCTTCAACTCCATATTTCTTTATCAACCTCAACCTTATTTTTTTCCGTTACCCTTAGGATCCTGCAGAAATAAAAGAAAATACTTTCTCTCGTTCTCTCATTTTGCCTAGGCGCCCTTTCGGGTTTTCATCCCAGCTTCCCACATTTTTCTGTTTTAATCCTCACAACTCACTCTTATTTTTGCTTTATTTTTGCTTAAGCTGCCCTTTCAGGTTTTCAACTTAACAAGCTTTTTTTTACAAGAATAAAGAGTATGAATGTGAGTATTCCATAAAGTGTGCTATTTATAGGTGTTTTTCAACACCTTTGGCCGGGTACCCGACCGGGTCAAGTACTTACCCGACCGGGTCCGGTCAAAATCAGATAATTCGTCACGTTCTGGTGATCTTCGCACGTCGTTTTGTCCCGGGTCACATCTGACCCGACCGGGTCAAGTAGGGGACCCGACCGGGTCCAGTGACTTTCTTGGCATTTTCGTCAGTTAAATCATACCCGACCGGGTGGTGGTTTCTACCCGGTCGGGTTTCACTCCTGGGCAGTCAAATTTCTTGTTTTCTTCTCTTCAAAGTCTTCCTTTCCAACACCACAAATCCTAACTATACTTTACAACTTATAAATGAGAATTAAAATACGATTACAACTAAAACCACACAAATGTTTACAAACTAAATAAAACGGTAAACAATACACACAAATCAATCATAAAAATATACATTTATGTACTACTAATTAGTGCATATCAAATACCCCCACACTTAAACCTTTACTCGTCTCGAGTAAATCAAATCCGGTCCAAAAAGTCCTTAAAATGACAAGAATATCAACACACACATCCACGAGTGTTTTTAGAAACACATAAAGTAAATCTCCAAAAATATAATAGTAAAGAGGGTCTTCAACTCCATATTTCTTTATCAACCTCAACCTTTTTTTTTCCGTTACCCTTAGGATCCTGCAGAAATAAAAGAAAATACTTTCTCTCGTTCTCTCATTTTGCCTAGGTGTCCTTTCGGGTTTTCATCCCAGCTTCCCACATTTTTCTGTTTTAATCCTCACAACTCACTCTTATTTTTGCTTTATTTTTGCTTAAGCTGCCCTTTCAGGTTTTCAACTTAACAAGCTTTTTTTTACAAGAATAAAGAGTATGAATGTGAGTATTCCATAAAACTCTCCCCCCAAGCTAATCAAAGCACTGTCCCTAGTGCTTGTGTCTAAGATGAATCTTTTTTTTTTGGATACTTTTTGGGAAGTTTTGTTGGTGATTCGTGGGTGTGGAGATGAAAAGGGTGAAGAGGTGATGAATGAAATGGGTTTAATTGGTGGATGGATGTAGAAGATATGAAGCTTTTGACTTTTGGAAATGGAGGGAATTTGGGGTGTGGTTCGAAAGGGAAGACAAAGGGGGGTGATTCATTTTTTTTAGAGAAATGGCCTGGTTTCCAAAATCGAGATACCCGGCCGGGTGGGGTAGTGTACCCGGTCGGGCGTAAACTGTTCACCCGAGGCAGAAGTTTTTTGCTGGCTTGCCCGGCCGGGTATGGGAGTCTACCCGGTCGAGTGAAAAATTTATTCTTGTTTTGCTCATTCCTCGCCTGGGTGATTGCCCGGGTGTTTTGTTTTTAGAAGTAACCTGACCAGGTTAGGGTTTATACCCGGCCGGGTCCAATCCCAGTCCATTTTTTTTTGTAATGTGTACAAAAAAAAAGTAAACGTACCTTGCTTGGGTTGCCTCCCAAGAAGCGCCTTAGTTAACGTCGCGGCACGACGCCATGGTTATGTTCAATCGTTCAAGCTTGGATCGTGATAACTCATCTTCTTCACATTTTCACCCGGGTGACTCTTATAGAAAGACTCAGTTTTTCGACCCTTTATTTTGACCTTTCCAGGATCAAATATCTAGATTTCTATCGCTTCATATTGTGAGAGTGTTGGTCCATGATTTTCATTAAGCATGGTCAATGGAAGGGGATTTGATCCGGGTGGTATAAGAGGGAGTATGAAATATTTGTGTAATCCCACCGTTATTCCTTGCTTATTTGTGAACAAAGAGAAGTCTAATTTATACTCACAATTGCTGAAAATTTCTTAGATATCTTTGTCCTTCTCCACCCTTTGTGTTTCCCTTAGAGTCTCAGGAAATGGTGGCATAATCTTAGGAATGGCCGGTGGTTGAGTTGAGTTTTCGGGTTTCTCCTCCGGTTGAGCTTTCTCCGTAAGCTCCTCTTCTTCCTCCTCCTCGCCCATGTGGTTCACAATGCTTGGCATTTGTTTCAACTGATTGTCCAAGTTCTGTTTGTTGGACACTGTTTCTTGCGAGCATTGTGACATATTTTGTTGCATATTTGTCACATTGAAAGTGAGAGCTCGGATCATGTCTTCAGTGGACATGCTGGAATAAGAATATGAGTATGGGCTATATGTGTTGGAGAATGAATCATACCTCTCTTGGAAACCAACATCATTCCTTTGTTCAAAGAATTCTTCTCGAAGCTCTGGGCAAAAGTCCGTAAGATGCCTTTGTGACATGCAAATGTTGCATGAATGGATATCTTGAGATTTTGAACATGAGATAAACTCCTTTATTAGAGAAGTCAAGTCGGAAATTTGACTCTCTAGGGATGATGTGTTGGTATCCATTTACTCATGCAAGCTCAGAAAATAGAAAAGTAAGATTTTTCTTTATATAAATTTTTATTTTTTATTTTTTTGATTTTTATGAGATAAAATAAAAAGAAAAATAATTGCCTTTCCCCGGCAACGGCGTCAAATTTGACATGCACTTTGTCACGGTGTGTCAAAATAATTTTCAATACTAAACACTTATACGTAGTATAGCGTAGTAGAGTTCGTATCCACAGGGAAAGGAATAATTCTCTTTTTATGATACTTAGTAAATAAAAAGGGGGATTTGGATTGAGTGATTTAATTTAATTAAGAACTAAGATGAACAACCAACCTATATGTGTTTAATTCAAAGATAAAAAGGACTTGGCATTGCTACTTTCCACTTGTTGATATATTTTAGTCGATCATTGTTATATCTGTAACTTATTCCCTCTCGAATACTCAATCGGGGAGTATATCCACTTCATCGAGGGTAGTTATTAACAACGACCGTTCATTAATAACCCTTACTATTAATCAAATATAGAACAACGCCGTATACCGATTTAATAGTAGCATTTTAATCTTTCTAACTCCTTGATGAAATCAATTGAGATTGATAACCTCAACACAAGCGGTTTCGGTTTAACCAACAAAATTAATCCCTCTTAAGTTTATTAACCACGACCGTGCATTAATAAACCGAAGTTACTTACTTGTGAAACCATCAACGATTAACCATCGGTTCGTTGATCGTTTCTAGTAATAATTAATATATGAAACAAAACTAGTTGATCCTTTAAGTAATGTTCAAAATATTAATATGAAATAAGAGTAGGAATTAATTAATATTCAAGGAAGAATATTATTAAAGAAGATGAATCCTACTATAATTAATATCAAGATGTTAACTAATTGTCATCTTAGCAACACTCCCCAACATTAATATAGAGGAAGAAAATACCATTCTAACTAATGTCGAGATGTTAACTAATTGTCATCTTAGCAACACTCCTCAACATCAATATAGAGATGGTATTAAGGAAAGAACTATTAATTAATATTCAAGGAAAAAAGTTAAGAAAATAACTCACAACTTTAAAAATCAACAAGCTTCAAGAGCAACACCAAGAATGGAAGTTTAGCTCCTCATTTGGAGACTAAACATAGCTAGAAAAATATAAAGAAATGCTATTCTAAACTGAGCTAAAGAGTATGGAAGAAGGGATGATTTTTTTGTGAAGAAAAAGTGTGCTATTTATAGGTGTTTTTCAACACCTTTGGCCGGGTACCCGACCGAGTCAAGTACTTACCCGACCGGGTCCGGTCAAAATCAGATAATTCGTCACGTTCTGGTGATCTTCGCACGTCGTTTTGTCCCGGGTCACATCTGACCCGACCGGGTCAAGTAGAGGACCCGACCGGGTCCAGTGACTTTCTTGGCAATTTCGTCAGTTAAATCATACCCGACCGGGTGGTGGTTTCTACCCGGTCGGGTTTCACTCCTGGGCAGTCAAATTTCTTGTTTTCTTCTCTTCAAAGTCTTCCTTTCCAACACCACAAATCCTAACTATACTTTACAACTTATAAATGAGAATTAAAATACGATTACAACTAAAACCACACAAATGTTTACAAACTAAATAAAACGGTAAACAATACACACAAATCAATCATAAAAATATACATTTATGTACTACTAATTAGTGCATATCTGGAGTTTTCTATCATTTGTGCCCTCCTCTCTATGGAAACTTTGAACCCTTGGCAGAGGCTGCTCTTCATCTTCATCCATATCCTATTTAACATGTAGTATATATAAATTGAAGCATGTAATCAAAATGGTGACTAATACTATGAATTTTAATAAATTAAAACCATCTAACTTAATACATACAAATAAATGTGAAAGTAAGAACACTTGTATATATTGATTTTTTAATAACTATATGTGTCACCTCCTCGTCACACATGTCTGGTGAAGTCATTATTTTTATCTGCTGAGGCGATCTTCTAGGAACAGTTTCAAAAAGCCTTTTCCGAGGAGTATACCTTGATTTCTTCATCACCGCAGTACTCTATTTACACAAGTTTAATTATTTTTTAAGTATAGACCATCAACAAAAGCTGAAATATACATGGTGGAGCTAAAGAATAGTTGTATACATTTTTTTTCCTTCACTCTCTTCCTCAAGTTGTTCATTCTCACCATTCATGAATTGAGTCTGCTTTGACTTGAGTCTAGGAGATTTCCTAGGAGTAAGCATGGGCTGATCCACCTCTCCGCCAGCCTAGGAATGTAAAATATACATTAGCATAAACTGTACATGTAAATAGAATATGAAAGGATGTACTAAATGTGTGTGCATACCTTTCTCTTTTGAGACTTATTGGCAATACTACAGCTGCCAATTTCACTAAAACCATTCGACATACAAGTTTTCATTTCATCAAACTTCTCTAACATCATCTCGTATCGTTTATCGCATATTTTTTTTTCTTTTTCCTTCTGAGTTATCGCAGCACTTGGTTTGTGGAAGTACGTTGTTGGGGTTATGAAGTGCCTTACACCCTGTACTCTGCTACCGTTGGGCTTTTTCTTAAGAGCAACTGCAAGAACATCATTCTCTTCAACTGGCTTAAATAACCCTTCACTTACTTTATTCTTCAGCTCCTTCTGCGAAAAGACGTCAAAACATCATTTTAAATAAATGCAGTACCGACTACCGAGCAAATAACATTATCATATACAGATTGGTTGTACAACAGTACAAGTAGTATAACAACTACTTTAGACATTAAGAAGCACAATAAGAGTAATGGATGTTATTTTGTGTAAAGTAAGATATAAGTGATGATTAAAAGGTTCAAAACACATAATCTGAAAGAGTGACAGAGGTTGTTCAAACATTAATTTATTGTATGTGTTAAGGTAAAACCAACATATTCAACCAGTTTAAGATTGAATTATCACAAAACAGTTTTACTGTCAAAATCATCTTTTCAGATTTTGTTTCACCCACTTCCTTCTTTATTCAATACTACACTTTCAATATGTCTGTTTTTAAAACTAAACTAGACTTCCTCATGCCTACTTTTCATCACTAAAATTCAGAATATAATGAATGCAAGAGAAGAAAATTTTCAAATATTTCCTTTATATATGTTCTGAATTCATATCCGGATAAAGAAGACGATAATCAAAGAAAAAGAAGTGCATTTAAAAATGAAGTTAGAAAAATAACTAATAGCATAAAAAATTACTAACTAATAGCATCTGTTTTTCAATTATTTCAATTAACAGCTTCTAACATGAAAGTCTCATTGCATTTAATTAAACTAAAAAATAAGCTGACATCACTTTAATCAAAATTCCAAATTCAGATTATAGTAAATGCAACAGAAGAAAAAATGCAGACTTTTTAATACATGTTTTGAGAGTACATGCAGATAGAATTTGGTATATGGTCACTATATATACAGATGAAGATCAACATTAGGTTGCTCAAATGCTAATTTATTGTATGTGTACGTTAAAGGTAAACAAAACATGTTGAACCTAACAAAATAATACTCGACAAAAACCCTCAAACATGCTGGAGAATATCAAAGCTGTGAAAAACTTACAATTTCATTAGTGACTTCCATAACACTAGCATCATATCCGCCGCCCTTTTTTTCCCTTCCCCACAGCCATGTGTCTGATCGATCGACAACTATCGCAGCAGTTCCAAGTTCTTTTTTCTGTGAGTTTTGAAAAATAAAAAACAATCATCTAAACAGCCATACATCAACTAATAAAAACATAGAAGAAACGGACAAACCTTCTTGTTAATTAACCCTGCATAACCCGTGGAACCCAGTCGGTGGTTATATACATTCTTCTTCCGGTTCTCACTCCCTTTTATGCTTTTCACCTAAAAACATTTACAAACAATTAAGTCTTTGTAAATAAAATGTATCACTATTTAATAATACTTCTTTAAAAATTACAATAACCTGAAATTCTCCTTTCAAAGTCTTTTTAACAAATAGCCTCCATTCATCAGTACTTATCTGCTTATACTTTTGAGGAGGTTGCAGTAACTTCTGGCGATTATTCCTGTACTTCCAGATGAATTTGGTGCGTAGCTTGCATCTGAAATTTCTAAGCGCAACCCCCATTGCACTGTAGATATGTTTCCTTGAATTCGGAGGCAAGACAAACAATTTCTACAATCCAAAAGTTATTATTTTGTGTTGTTATTCGTTGTATAATTAAATTTAAAAATAATCAAAAACCTGTAATGTAGTATAAAAAATATCTTATTATTTACCAGAATATGCTCCCACATCTCATCTGTGACTTTCTCTGGAACTGATCTCCAATCATCATACATTCTCGAGACATAGTCCCTCACCAATACCCCGATGTAACTGACCAGTTCAGTCCATCCCTCACCAGCGAGAACACCAAACTCATTCACTTTGACCACAACTTTCTCATCAGTAGATTTCTGAAGCAACATTTTCTTCTTTGTTTTTTCTCGCCGAATTGGTCCCTCATCCAAGTCATCCATATCATCTTCAATCTCTGCATCTTCTGTGTCTTTGTGGCTTTTCATAGCTGACTTCATCCTGCATATACAAACATGAAATAAATAAATAAAAATTAGTTCTTTCTAAACAGACAGTAAATAAAATAATGCACAACTGAAAATCATAAAACTTCACCCATAAACCATTGTAAAATCAGAGAGGCACTTACTATAATAAGAAAAGAAAACATTCCACGCCAGACTCACTGACTTTTCCATTGATGTTGCAGTTTATGATGATTAATTATCAACATCATCTAGGGTTCCCGAATCAAGAATATTTATTGGGTATTGTGAAGTTAGGGGCTCATGTATGATCATTTCATCACATTCGGTAATCCCAGAGCTATTTATCCTTTGACCAACTGAACAAACTATAGATTTTCTTGGATCAAGTTGATCTTTCACATAAAAAACTTGCTTTGCATGTGAGGCTAAAATGAAACTATCTGTTTTGTGACCAATCTTATTTAGATCAACTAATGTGAACCCCAACTTATCTTTTTTCACATGCCTACTATGTACCCAATCACACTTGAAAACGACCCTCTTAGTCATGAGGTAATGAAGGACCCAAATTTCAACAAGGACGCCATAGTAATTCATGTTGGAAACTCCGGTTGTGTCTGCTATAAGAGTAACCCCGCTATTTTGTGTAACTCGATTTAAATCTCGATCCTTTGTTGCAAAGCTATATCCATTTACAATGTATCGTGAGTATGTTGACACAGTTGTGTTCGGTTTTTTTGCTAGCCACTGGACTGTTTTCTCAACACACATACCATTTGCAATATCATTACAGACCTACACATTAGAAACTTAATGTTTAGTACATTTGAGTTAAATATGTATTTTCTGTAACATTAAATTAAAGAACATTTAACCTTCTCCTCAAACCATGAGACAAAGACTCGATAGTGATCTGTTTCACAACAACCATCAAAGTTTGATTGCAGCTCCAACATGTGCTGCCTATTTTTATTTATGCATCAACAATAAGATATTTGGATTTGGATAAATGACAAGAACTGAGAAAAATCAACTGAATGCTTACTGGATGTACGGCAAAGCTTCAGGCGTATTAAACAGAACAGTTCGATGTGCTTGCTCGAGCAAGGAACAGTCCACTATTTTAGTCTCCCCACGTCCTAGGGGCCTCTCAATTGGGTCGATATTGTCACAATCCATAGGTAATCCAATGGACCGGTGATTTGCAAGATATTCAGCGCATAACTCAAGCGCTTCTTCAGCTGCATAACATTCTGCCATGCATCCCTCAGGATGGTAATGATTGCGGACATACCCTTTCAAGAACTTCATGCTTCTCTCAAAAGGGTACATCCAACAGAGGTAAACCGGGCCACATAACCGCACTTGAGCAACGAGATGGACCGTTAAATGAACCATTATATCAAAAAAAGAAGGTAGAAAGTATTGTTCAAGACAACACATGGTGATGTGGTGATTAGACTCTAGTTCATCAAGTGAATCACTATCCAACACTTTCTCACACAATTTATTAAAGAACAAACACATATTGGTAATAGCATTTGTAACGCTTTCAGCCACTGACATGTTGCGAATGGCCAAGGGAAGTATCTGTTGCATCAAGGTGTGACAGTCATGAGACTTGAGACCTTGAAGGTGAGTCTCATCATCAGAAACAATACTTTTCAAATTAGAGGAATAACCATCTGGTACCTTTATTCCCAAAATGGTTTCACAAAATTTGTGTTTGTCTTTTTTGGTCAAGGTGCTGGGAGCTGGAGGTAAAGATTTTGAATTTTCTTCAGGAATTAAGTTTTTCTTTATGTTCAAGTGAATAAGGTCATTTCGAGCATGGGGCCCATCCTTTGTCTTTTTCGATTGATCCAGAAGGGTTCCATAGATGCTCTCACACACATTCTTTTCAATGTGCATCACATCTAATAGGTGACGAACTCGCAAATGCTGCCAATACTCTAAGTTAAAAAAAAAGGACTTGCGTTTGAACAATTTGTTCATACCTCCATCCTTTTGATCACGCTTTCTCTTTCGTTTGCCGTCCTTGCGCTTCCCACTCTTATAATTTATCCCTTCTACCAATTCGAGAACATCTTCACGAGAGAGAGTTACAGGGGCTCCAGCTCTCTCTACTTTATTATTAAAAGGTTTCTTTAGATCTCTAAACCTATGGTTATCTGGTAAAAAGCGACGATGGATCATGTACACACATTTTTTGCTACATTTCAGCCAGGTAGATGAAGTGGCTGGACCACAAATGGGACAGGCATAATAGCCCTTAACAGTGCACCCAGACAGATTACCATAAGCAGGGAAGTCACTTATAGTCCACATCAATATAGCTCTTAACTTGAAGGTTTCCTTTTTAAAACTATCGAAAACTTCTACACCCACATGCCAAAGGGTGTTTAGGTCATCGATCAAGGGTTCTAAATAGACATGTATATCATTTTCGGGCAATTTAGGACCACATATTAAGAGAGATAACATCATGAACTTTCTTTTCATGGTCAACCAAGGCGGAAGGTTATAAATAACTAATTGAACAGGCCAACAACTGTAGGAAGAACTTAGTGAACTGTGTGGATTTACTCCATCACTTGAAAGTGCCAACCTAAGATTCCTAGGATCTTCACTAAAATCAGGCCATGTTTTTTCAATGTGTTGCCAAGCTTGAGCATCGGCTGGATGACGCAATTTCCCATCTTTGATGCGATGATTTGCGTGCCATGTCAAGTGCTCAATAGTTTGGGGTGATTGGAACATACGCTTGAACCGAGGAATTGGAGGAAAATACCACAAAACTTTCTCGGGAATTCTATTAGTAGCTGTTATGGCTCCATTTTTGTTTCTTTCCACCTAGACTCGCCACATGTGGGACAGATTTCAAGGTCACTATGTTACTTGTGAAAAAGTATGCAATCATTACGGCAAGCATGTGTTTTCTGATAATCCAATCCTAATACCTTCATTATTTTCTTAGCTTCGTACATTGACTTAGGAATAGTGTTGGGAATATTTTATGGTGTTCAATCTAGTTAGTTATCTTTGTATTTGTGTAGTTATCAATTAAACGTGTAATACGGGCCACAAATGTGTATCAGCCCGTGGGCTTCCTTGTAACCCGTAAGTTAGCTAACTTCTCCTATAAAAGGAGGCTAACTTACGGGAACCCCAACTGATAAAAAATAGAGGCTTAGAGACGCAGAGGCGACATAGAGAGAAATTAGGGTTGCCGCTGCTCTCCTTCTCCAGGGAGAGCAGCGGACAGTTTTATACGGTATACCAGATTTGCGTTTCAATCTTGTCGATTTCTTTCTATCTGCTTCTTATTCTTCTTGTTATGATTGTTGAATGTTAAATTATGGGACTAACATTTGGTATCAGAGCCGAGGCGTGAAACAGGTTGGATCTGTCTGCGATTTTTTGGATCTAACGAAGAACTACTCTGTTTTTTCTTCTGTTTTTCTACATGTAGAGATTTGCTCCTGTAATCTCGTTTGTGAACGAAATTTTGTAAAAATCATACTGTTGGATTCGCCTTTCAAAACCGATCCAGCAGCATACCTCTTTTTTCGTTTTCTGCAATTTTTATATTTCGAAGATCTCTACATTGAGATCTCGAAATCCTTAATTCTCACTGCTGCAGAAACGTTTTTGGCTTGAAACTGATACAGGAGAATCTCGACTTTCAGGGCTATTCAGAACAGGTTTCAGATTTTCAAAAATCAATGTTTTCGTTTTGCAGGATCTCGACATTTAGGGACTCGATTTCTTCTTCTCGACATCTTGATCTCGAGATTTGCATCTCGACATCTTGATCTCGAGATTTGCATCTCGACATCTTGATCTCGAGATTTGAATCTCGAAATCTTGATTTCGAGATTTGCATCTCGACATCTTGATCTCGAGATTTGAATCTCGAAATCAAGATCTCGAGATTTGAATCTCGAAATCATGATCTCGAGATTTGGATCTCGAAATCATGATCTCGAGATTTGGATCTCGAAATCAAGATCTCAAGATTTGAATCTCGAAATCATGATCTCGAGATTTGAATCTTGACATCAAGATCTCGAGATTTGAA